TCGGACATCACGCCAGAGTCGCTTCATCAGTAACCGTATGACATACATATCTCCTTTTCATTTATTTTAGTTGGCATGTAATAAGGTTCAGTAAAAACACTGAATATTATTGGATTAAACTGCTGTAAAATGGTGGATTGTTAAAACATCTCTTTTATTCTTCTATTTAAGTTAATGTATGTTTTACTTTAAGTGAATTAAAGGTTTTATAAAACGAAACAAAAATTTTATGAGTTTTCGAATGAGGAACAGTAATAATAGTGATGTGACATATGTATCTCATATACGGAAGGGTATACGGGAGATGGGTGTTACATGTGTCGTTTTCTTTCCATCTGCTTTACTTTGATATTTCTATTGGTTGTTGTAGGTGTATCTTCCATTGTTGTTGCCTTGGTCACCGGTTCCAAGATTCTTTGCACATATCTATGGGTTCCCTCCGTTCTTGATTCGAAGATTGAGAATCTTCTCTCTAAGGAAACCTTTTTTTTCAGTCCACAAAGAAGAAATTTCTTCTTGATTCCCCTTTATTTGTTCTTGCTCAGATGTAGTAACATATTTTTTGTTAGTGCCATTTTTTTGTTGCATCCTCTTTGGTTTTCTCGGTTTTTGTGGATCAAGAACCTAGCTTTGATACCAATTATAATGAATTGAAGAATAAGATATTTTAGGAGAGAAGAAATGAAGATAAAGAATGCAGAATTTTATTAATTTCAATATTTTTCATACATTACATTCAAACTATATTTATACACTAACGATCTTATTGTTCTTTGTAAAAAACCATTTTCAACAAATCATGCTCCCAACAATTGGGTTTATACGCTCAAAAGTCCACTAACCTAACTGCCAACCCAACAAATATAATAATTACACCCGACATCGTTTAGACATTTACAATTTATTAACTCAATTCTCAAATCAAATCACCCCAAATTTGTTTCATTTCCTAACCCATTCATGCTTTGCGATGAAATCCTAAATCCCCTTTCACGATCATGATAATCATTTTGTTTTTTTAAGTCTGGAATTTCTCATTGTTTTAGTTAATTATAGGGTAAAATACTCAAATGGTGACTAATGTTTTCGTTTTTATCATTGATGTTTTAAAAAACATAAATCGATCATTAATGTTATTGTTTGTTATAAATTGATCACTTGACGTTAATAAACGTTAACTGCTTACCTGGACCATTGCGACATTAGATAACCCATTGACCTACGCTTCAATTGCAGTCGCCTTCCTCTCTCTCTCTATCTCTCAACTATACTTTTTTAAATGGTTGGAAATGGCTGAAAAAGTTGCTCGACTGTAACTCTTGGTTCCACCACTTCTCTCAACAACACATCCCACCAATATGACTTGTTTTTCTTCATCGTCATCGCTCGAAATTCTGCAGAATTTTACGGTGATATAAAGTGCAAGGGTGGCAAATGGAACCATGAACTAATTCCTCACTACACGGATCAAAGATCTTTAATGGCTCTTTGGGTGTTGTTCGACCTATGGCCTGCAACAACTTTAAATATAATAATGGTGGAAGTTTCAAAGATGGAAGAGGTGGGGTGGCGAAAGCTCACAATCGTTGTAAAGGATTCCAATGCCTCCAACATCTCGTCAATCTACTCGCTCTTTCACCGCTTGAGTTATTGGCATATAAAAGTAGTCTGAAATGACTTTCTTGGACAACAATTTGGTATCATTGTTGAACTGCTTTTTCCTGCATTTTTTAGCTTCCAATTGTTGATCTCCATTGTTAAGTTTTGGCAACTTTTGGTTGTTGCAGGTTTCACTGAACAATTCTTTTTCATTTTCATTTCCATCAATGGCCTCGCCGTAAGCTTATGAGGCTTAAACTCTTATAAAGAATGCTAAGATACAAATTCTAAACTGAATGAGTTGCAGAATGAAAACGGAGATAAAAGTGAAGGAAGCAGTAAAAGCTTTAGAGAAGGAGAAGAAAATGGTGGAAGAGGTGACCGATTTACAATTGGAAGATAAAACCAAGAGGCTTGGCAAGCTTGTTTCAAGGCCAAGGAAGATGATGACGGCGACAATGATCATGGAGTCTCTGTAATTTCGGGTTTTAGTCGACGATTGCCATATTTAGGGATTGGGTAAATTAGGGTTAGGGATTATGTTTTTATTTAAATGGTAATAGGTGATCGTTGGAGACATTTGACTCTTCACCGTGGCAATCCAAGTTAGCAATTAACGGACCAGCTGTGCTTCCCGTGACTCACGTTGATATCTATTAACGTTGAGTGACTAATTTGTAACAAATGATAACATTGGTGATCGATTTGTGACTTTTGAAACATTAGTGGTGAAAACGATAACTTGCTCAAATATTAGTAACCAATTGTGTAGTTTACCCTTGATTATATGAATGCTGCTCTCACTGGCTTAATTGTGTAGTTGGATTTGTTGTTTACATAATTACCTCAGTTTCCATTTTGGGGACAGGTTTTGGTTTTTGTTGTCAGGCAAATCTATGTAAAAGTTTATTATGATCTCAGGCTCCATTGATTTTGGTGAACACTTTCGAAAGAAAATGATGTATAAGTTTTTTCACAATATGACATTTCAGATACCTTTAAAATGAGCACATACCGTATCTGACACTCACTCGATTTCGAGCAACTTTAGCATTATGGGTTGGAAAACTTTCCTACGATGATAATAAAAGCTTTAATTGATGTCCTTTTCCAGGAAATGGAAGAAAATTTGAATGCCACTTGATATCCCTCGAACATTCTCTGAAATATGCTACGAGGGAAAGAGGCCTATGTATCTCGAGACATTGAAAAAAATGTATGGATATAGTCAATTTGCATGAACATTTGGGAATGAGCTGTAGCATTTAAATACCTCTTTCCTATCTGAAGATGTTTAGAACCAGCCTTTCATAGGTAGTGCTTCCCTGTACCGATATTCATTGTCATGGGATCCATCCTCCAGAATTTTGATTTATATTGAGTGTAGCAAGAGTGACCAAATATACATGGGAAAGCTTATGCGCAGCGTTATGAGCATATATTGCAATTGAAGCGCACTTAAATGACTTATTTAAGATGTCTACTGTTGGTCGTATACTTTATCTCGGAAGGTATATTCATTTTTTTAATAACTCGATCATTCTCAACTATTCAAGACCAGAATTGTTTATTGATTTACGAGCCACATGAATGTTCAATTCCTTTACATCTGAAATGTGCATGTTAGTATAGCCTAACTGTATTCATAGAGAAAAGAGTGCACTCCAATCCAAGTAGTAGCGGACTTTGATCATGCTTTACAAAAGTTCTCTTCACAGTACAATCCTGTTTCTCTTATATACTTGCATTTCCTTTTATGTATTAATCATCGATTCTTGTAATGCGCAATAACGGCGATCTTATGGCTGTGCAAGGAACTAGATTGACTAAGAGCTTCCCAGTGCCCTCATACGTGGTTACTCCAATGGCACACTGTAGTTTTATCCGTCAAAACAGTTTGGAAATGTATGCATTTGTTATTTGTGTATCAAGTTAGTTAACTATATACTATGTTAATGAATCCATGTAGTTTACTCATTTATGCTTCTAAATATTTTTGGAATTTTAACGAAATGAACCCATTCCCATTGAAATTATTTTAGATTATTTGTTTTAGAGCTCTGAGGCATGTATGGCAATGGCTTCCCTAAAATGTCGGTGTTTCTGTTGGCTGTGGAAGATATAATGATTGGCATGGGTTAGGTTTATGATCAATCCGACTTGACTCGAAAAAAATATACACTTGAAATCCGAACACGACCTAACTCGAAACATATATATTTAAAAAATATTAATTTTATTCGATAAAAAATGATCTAATTGAAAAATAATAATATATAAAAAGGTATTATTGAAATTGTCTTTAAATATATATGAGGTATAATTACATTATTTTTTTGAATTATGTTGGGTTAAGTTTTTCCTTTTTTTGTCATAAACTTGAATTTGAATTAATTTGAATCTAATTTTTTTAAGGAAAAAAGCTGACCTAATATAATCAAGTCAAGTCAAGTCGGGTCCTATGCCCATTATTGGCAAATATGGGGCGGGAATTAGCTCTGTGTTAATGAAAGAAAACTAACTCTTATTAGTAGGGGTGAATATAATTATACTTATTCAAAAATAATAATTTTTTTCAACTTGAGACGGTAGTAAAAGATTTAATTCAATTGACTCAACTCATAATTTCATTAATTAAACTTAAATAAAGTTTGAATTATAAAATAGAACTTAAATAACTCAAACAATTCAATTTGTATTTAGTGGATTTATTTGAAGCTCAAATCGCGTCTCTTAACTTTATATGATATATGTATATCATATATAAAAGGATATAAAGAAATATATATGTCGTATTTTATATGATATTTGTATATCATAAATAAAAAATATGAAAAAATATATATATCGTATGAATTATAAAAGTTATATAAATTCAATTCAATTAGAATAATAATAATATAAATATTTACAATTAAATTTAAATATAAACTCAAACAACTTGATTAGACTAAACTCAAATGGAATTTCATAAATTCAACTTAAAAAATTCCAAATAAAATTTAAAATATAAAATAAGAATAAAATTTGAAATATAAAATAGGACTTTTAACTTGACTAACTCACTTTTTTGACTCAATCAAATACTCAACCCCTAGTTGCAGAACTTTATGGAGATTGAACTTCCCCCTCAAGGTCATGTTCCTATGGAAAATGGCAACAGAGTTAAATTCACTCATGTAAGCTGCGCTGCCATGAACCCCCAGAATCAACTGGTCGTCTATTTCTTCACTTTAAATTCTTTTATCCCAAGGGATCAAAACTCTAATCCACAATATGATTTTGCCTCATGCCACTTGCTTGGCAAGTATTATGTGGAACCATACTTGTTTCAACACAAAAACTAGTCAAATTGCAATCCACGAGTTAGATAAGATTGAGACCAACCAAACATGAAAATATAAAGATAAAGATAATTGAAGATTTAGGCTCATAATAGCATAAGAGATATCTAATCCATCATTTACAAACATAACTGAGATAACCTAGTGAGAATTTCTCATCTTCTTGATATCTTCAAGCAAAAACTTGGATTCTTCAGCAAAGTTAATTGGAGCAACGGCCCTGACTGTTATCCTTTGCCTTTTCTCATTGTTATACTCATTTTGACTCACGCTAACTCGAAAGAGATGAGGAACCCAAGTAGCTTCCTTCAGCTTTTGTCGGTATCCATCAATATCTCCTTGCTGCAAACACCAATGGAACTGTGTGTCAATATTCTACATATTATATGCTAAAACATGAAAATATGAAGAAATGCTTTCACCTCTGACTTCAGTTCATCAAGTTCCTCAGCTGAGCATCCAATAATGTTCTCTGCTACTTCATTGAAGGCCGAAACCCAGGCTTCACCTCTTGCATCAGAGATCTTTGACACCATTATGTATCTAACAAATGACAAATAAAAAGACAACAGAAACATTAGAAATGCTAAATAACTAAAACTGTCAAATGTTAATTTCACAGTATTCCAACATCTCACCTTAAATTGCACTCTTCATCATTTTTCTGGCATCCTTCACACCAATAGCCTGACCCAACAGCGTCAGTTACTTTCTTGTTGCATGTTTTGCAAGCACGGTACCACATTGCCTGCTCAGGCTTGATCAAGCTAACAAATGCTTTTATGCTGAAAAATGCAGGCTGCCCATGAAACATATTTGATTATCAGAAGCGAAATTATTTTCAATGGATGAACAACCATTGAGTCAAATTCAGCAAACGATAATATTATTGGCAAAATGCAACAACAATCCCACTCCAAGAGTAAACAAAAGCATTGTACTTGTTCATAAGGATATACCTTATCATCACCCAAGGATGGATTACTAGTGATATGAGAAAGGGAAACCCTGTCAGTATACATAGATATTGCTCCAGTCCTGGATGAAGGACTCAAGCCCATGCCAATGTTGGCCATGGAACTCACTTTCCCTTCCAAATCATACCTGCATGGCAACAACTTGTATCAGAAAATGCTACTTAACAAGGAATAACCAATAGTTTCTCAGCAACAATAGCTTACCAAGATCTCAACTTCTTTGCTTCAGGAATATCTGGATTAATTATCACTGTACTTTTTCCCAATGTTGACAAAGATACACCTAAAACATTAAATCAGATTTCAGGATAACCATTTTAATGCAAGATTGCTAGTTTTTTCTATCAGAAAGCCTCCAGCTTTAGAGTACCTTGAAAATCACTAACTTTGAGTGATTTAATTGCTACTACTGGAGATGTATCAGCAAGGTCAAACAATTTCTGGCCTACATCATTTGCAAGCTCATTCCACAAAGAAACCACCACTGTCTTCTTCCTGGCATTCAAAAGCGTATGGCATTGGTAAATCATAATTAAAAGAGGAAAAACATATAGCAGTCTAGAAGTGGATATTTACGTTTCATCTGCAACGATCATATCCCTCTTTGGAATATTCTCATTGTCAATCTTCCTTTTAATATTTGATACAGCAGTGACACTTTGAACAACTCCGATAATATCTGGAATTCAACATAAGAAAAAAACAATAATAAGAATCAAAGCATTATAGGGACTAAAACCCATCCTATTTAAAGTTTCTAGGAATGAGTACTTACCAACAACCTCCCGTCCATTAACATAAGGGCCTAACTGATCGATAGGGACAAAGTTGAATTTAGCTTCAGGGACAAATGTTTCTTCATCAGAAGCCTCTTCCACCACAGAATTCTCATTCAAAGTCAATTCATAATCATTTTTAACAGTCTTAAACTGCTTGTTAGCAACTTTTAGTGTGCCTTTTGAAATGTAATAGACTTTCCCCAGTTGAAACTTCTCATAGAACTTCCTTGCAGCTTCATTAAACATCGTGGCCTGAATTTGTGTACCCTATAAAATATAAATCATTCAATCAATTAGAACCCAATTTTCTACAATTTATTAAAAAGGTTTCTCCAAACACAGCATCATAAAATCACAAATCATACAGCAGCTTACATCTTCATCTGTTAACTCCACATTGAAAACACAACCTTCTCCTCTGGCATTCTTATAGGTACGCATGTTTCCCTTGCTTGTGAGACGCACTTTAATCGTCCAATTCCCTTGGTAAGGATTCAATGAAACAAGAGGATGTACTCTTCTTGTCATTGACATCCGTGCAACTGGAGGCATACTGTAAATTTAAGAAAAATGTAAGATACTACTAAAGAAACGATTAAATCTTATAGATGATAACAAAGAAGATTGAACTTTGAACTTCAGAAAAAATTAAGGAAATTTACTTTTCTCGCTGCTCGTGTACTATTTGTGCTGCAGACTTTGAAACCACTTCTTGCTTTGGCTTCAAAATAATACCAGCCAAATCGGTTTTAGCCTCATTTTTAATCCCATGTTCAAGCTTTGGCTTCTTTAAAACAATGTCAGGTTCCTCGGTTTTGATTTCAGCTTTGATTTCTGTTTCAAGTGCAGAAGATACGACCTCACATTTTGTCACAATCAAGTACCTGAAACCCAATGCACATTTCAAATATCATGTTTGGGAAACCTTTAAAACAAACAAATAAATAAACAGTGAAGGGTAATCAAAAGTTACTTCTCTGATTTGTTGGGGATATCATTGAGTGTATAATCAAGAATTTTAACGAGACCCTTGCTCTGGACACTGCCTGCAATGATCTCTGATGACATGTTTGATGGAAATATCGCTCTCAGTTTCATCTTCCCATCACTTGCATTAAACCTTCAAAATCAAACATTAACCAAAATAATAATCAGTCATTACATTTTCAATGGAAAAAATGTATTATTCTTCAAAAAACAATGCATAAATGGCGTTCGGTTTGCTGCTGAACAAACAACAAAACAAGAAAAAAATGAAAATAATTAAGTAAATAAGACATATCTAAATAATATATTAAGCAAATAAATCACAGCATATCAAGGAAGTAGCCATCGACAGGTTGAACCAAAAAAACCCAAAAACCTAGAATTTGCTTTACAAAAAGCATAAAACTTATGTCAATTAAATAAAGCAGATCAAAAAAAAAAAAGACTTGCGAAGTAAACAAACAACAGCGCTTCAGGGGGGAGAAAATGAAGAAGATTCAGGATAGCTACTAAGAAGTTGGACTCGGAAACCCAAAACCCTGAATATATTTGGGTACTAATCAAGTAAGGTGATAAAAAAAATAGATCGAAGAATATAAAGAAGCGTACGTGTAACGGTTGCCGGTGAGCTTGAGATCCAAGACTTGGACGATGATCTCAGGAAGGTCTGAAGAAGATTCGGGAGATGGATTGGCCAAAATCGTTGATATCGCGTCTTGGCTCACTGCCTTTGCCATTTTTTGCCTCTCTCTCTCTCTCTCTCTTTTGGGTGTATTTGGTACCTGAGAAAACCTTTAAGGCAAATTTAAGGAAGAGAAGAAGTGATTTAAGGAGAAGATGATAGGTTTTTGTGTTGAAAAATTTGGGAGGGAGTTTTGGTGGGTTCCCGCTGAGTAAGTAAAAATACTTTCGCCGTTTTAGCGGGAATTTCATATTTTTCTTTCTTTGGGCTTTCTTTCCACAACGATGGGATGGCGCCAAACGTAAATTATAAGATCAATTATATTTTAATTACTAAAAAATTTATTTTTTATTTTAATCAAATCATCTTTCTTAAATTAATGATGACGAAGTTAATAATATAAATTTAATATTTGTATAATAATAAATTTAATCTTTTACATTTAACATTTAACCATATTAATTTTAATTAAAAAAATATTTCAATAACTTTAACTCACATAATATAATTATGTATAATCATTTTGTTAATAAAAAATAAAAATATATAAATGGATTTGAAATTTATTGTACTTGAAGATGAAATCACACTTATAATTATTGTAGTAATTTTATTAATTATTTCTATTTAAAAAATATTAATTATTACATAGATGACAAAAATAATATTTAGATAAAATTGTGATTGCTTTTATATTTTTAAATTAAATTTTTATATCGTTATAATTATATATATATATATATATATGATAACTGAATCACTTTTTTTTAATTTGATTAATATTTTTAAAATTATATATTTATATATAAATATTTGCTATATATAATTAAAGTAGATCTTATTTTAAAAGCCAAAATTTAATGTATAAAATTATATATATGTTGTATTATGCGGTGAATTGATCATTAAAAAGTTTAGTAAAGGCTTTATTATGACGTAACAACCATTAATCAATTGTTTTAATTCGTACATAAAAGTGTTTCAAAAATTATTATATCTAATTCACAAGGGCAGTATTAAGACTGAATTACACAAGTGAAATCTTTTAATTCACCTATGCGAATGGGTTTTATATATCGTTAAAAATAATACTATTATAAGTTGGAAGTTAATAATGGCTGATAAGATTAATTACATGAAATAAAATAAGATTATTGCATAGTAATAAAAATAAATAATTTTATTCCGATTAAGTAAAATCATAAAATTTGTGTAATATTCAAAATTAACAGAATATTTCTATATTTGTATTTTCAAATGATAAAGATGAAACTCAATTAGTATTTCTCTTCTCACGTAAAAAGGAAATTGACGATTTTCACTATAAATATAGATGTTGTTGATATCAGGGCTATTTTATCTGGATATCTATATTTTTATACTCAAAAATATAAATATCTAATTCTCCAGATAATAAAAAAGTGACATGTATCTCGATCGATTAAATTAATATTAAAATAAGTATCTAAACTATACTGTTTTTTAATAGGTGTCTAAATTATTTTTTGACTTATCCAGGTGCCTAACGTTACAAACGCTACCCATTTAAGTGCTTGGGCCATCAATGTTGTTAATTTTCCCGTTAAATGACACGTGTCACAATCCAATAAATTTCAAAATTTATTTAAAATTAAAAAAAATAAAATTATATTTTTTAAAAGGAAAAAGAAAAACACAAATTTTGAAATAAACTCAAAACTTTGCCGTCGACAAAGCTCAATCCGACTTCCCCTTCCCCCGGGGATTAAAATCCCTATGAAATTGTGACCAATCGACAGTCAATCAATGACGAATTAATGTTTTATACCTCGCAAACCCTAAGTTAAAAATCGTGATTCCGACGGCATATGACTAAGAGGATGGCAAGAACTACGTAGACAATGGTGGTCGTGTCCAGAAAGGGGGGCGACGTGTTAAGGTTAGGATTTTAGGGATTTGGGGCCTATTTTATAATTTAAGAGAAATCAGGAGTTTTTTTATAATATAATAATATTTTTTAAAACAAATTTCAAAATCACCCGATTGTAACACGTGTTATTTAATGGAAAAAATTAACGCCGTTAACGACCCGAACACCTAAATGGGTAACATTTGTAATGTTAGGCACTTGGATAAGTTAAAAATAATTTAGTCACCTATTTAGGAAAAAAACTATATAATTTAAGCATTTTTTTGGATTAAGCATATATAAAATACTCAAAATCACAAAACTTTTAAAATGATTTTGTTATAAATTTGTGCCCAATATTCTTTATTTTGTTTTACTTTTACAAGTAAACTCAACCTGTCTTTACTTCTATCCTTTGGGTCTTTAATAGATATCCACACGATTTCTATCCATGTATTCAAAATTTAATTTAACTTTTTATAAAAAAAATATTTTGAAAAAGTATCCCGAGAAAATAACTGACAATTATGGATCAATATGCAATTTACAGTCCATTGATTATGAGCAGGCAACAGTAGCACATCTTGAAGCGGTAAATTGTTACAACTTGAATTCAATAGATTTTTGAAGAAGAAGGGAATTCAGAATTTCATTCATTCAAAAGCATAAAAAATGGAATACATTCTTTTAGATTGCATAATAACAATTTCTGTTAGTTTTGTACTACAAGTAATATTCTCATTTGTCTTCTTTTGCAATGACTTGACTTTCCAGTTGTGAAAACTGAGTAAACCTCCCATGTGTCCCAAATTCACCATTGAACCATGTATGTTTCCTCCACAACTAAAGGATAGACTCTCATCTGGATTCAATGAAACATGTATGTTTCCTCCAATTCACATGAAAAACTTGATGTATCTTAGAATTTTCAAGAAAAATTAGCTTGTATGCAAGTAACCTAATTTTCTGTATTATTATATAAGAGACATAATATCCGGCTAAAATACATGTATTATTTTCCTTATGCCTAGTTTTATCTCTTAGACTTTTCTTGAAGAGGTTTTTAATTAGATTGCATGTCATGCGTGTTAAAATACAGTGTTTTCTTTGTTGGATTATTGTCCTACATGATATTTTCTAGTAAAGTTTGAACGAAACACATATTTTAGAACATTCAATAATGTATGTAACAACCCAGAAATTGGAGAAAAAAATATATATATTTAATTGAAATTTGAGGATTTAATTTTGCAATTGGTGAAAATTGTGGATTAAATTGAAAGTTTTCAAAATCTGTAGGTTGTTGTAGAGTTTAAGGAAATTTAGGAATTAAGTCCTGAATTTACCCAAAAAAGTGACACTCTTTTAAATGCATAATCAGATGTGCGTGGGAGGTGAATTATTAAGCAAAAAAAAAATTATAAGATTTCTCCCTTTCAACACCCAACTTTCAACCACGATCCCGATGCCGTCCAACCTCCGATCGTTGTTTTGAAAACACCATCGTGTTCATCATCGAGCGAGAACAAATCCCTTAAATTAATTGAAGTGAAACGCTACCAAACACAGAGAATTTCAAGTCAAAGTCTCGACGTTTTTTAGCTCTATCGACGAGAAAATCTTAAATTCGTCTCCGATCGTTGCTTCGTTTTCGACACCTCCCGCACCATCGTGTTCCTTGTGCCGTTTCGAGTCTGCCGGTGTCATCCTTGTCTCCGTTGACGGCGCGCGTGAGGAGGTGAAGCGGTCAAAGTTTCTGATTCGTTGAAATCGAGCTCTCCGTCGTTCAAAAATTGGAACCGAGCTTTGTAAGTATCTCAAAATCGCTCAAAATAATTTTTAGGAATTTTTCCGTGATCTATAGGACGCCTTAGGAGGCCCCACGCGCCGCCACTGCGCGTGGGGAAGACTCGACTGCTGCCTTGTAACAGGTTTGACCGATTTTTGACCAGGTTTGACCGGTCTGAACCGGGTTGACCGATTCGAACCGGTTCGACCTGACCCGTTAACCTACTTATTTTGTACGAACGTATATCTCTAAATATTTTTCAGTTGTGTTTGGTGACATGTTTTTGCTATCGTTTTGGATATATCTGTATTATTAATATTTTGTTATGTATTATATCTAATGTATTGTAAGTTGTTTAAAAAAATCTCTAAATGGGATATGTGACCACTTAGGTTTGAGTTTAACTTACAGACCGGGTATGGGGGTTACATTTGGTGGTATCAGAGCTTTCGATTTTAAATACTCACACTGTAGATGGGTCCTAAACTTTGAATTTTTAAGAAATTTTGAAAAAAACGTGTTACCTTATTTTATGATTTAATGTTTTTTTCGAGATACCTGATGCTAATCTGACATATGATTCAAATTATTTCTGTAGAGCCTTATAGATAAAACGATGAGTGCTGCTAGAGATCGTATGACAGGATGTGGCCGTGGTTGAGGACGAGTCACTCGACCTTCTGTTACGATAGAAGATCTGATGTCACCACGTGATCCTCATGTTCTGCAAGTAGATCCGACCCTTTCTCATTATGACCAGTTTACTCCTGTGAGAGACCCTCCCGTCACTGGAGATGAGGATACTAATATAAATGAAGACGCCCTTAATAGAGCTATATTCCGCATGTTTCAGAGAGCTGTCAGAGCCCCTAGTAATATGACTGCGGTTGAGATTTCAAATTCTTTGGTCGTTGCTGGTGTAATTCCATTCGAGGGTATTACTGGTGGACCTCCGATAGACGCTGAGTATTGGTTGGAGGACACATAGAGGATTATGGATGAGATGGATCTCAGACCTGAGCAGAAGTTGAAGGAGGTTCTAACTATATTGAAGAAAGAAAGCTTCAGATGGTGGCAATCAATTTCTGTTAGTATTCTGAGAAACCAGTTAATATGGGATCTTTTTAAGACACGTTTCCAGAGTCGCTACATCGGAGAGAGATACCTGCAGGAACGACGTCAAGAGTTTCAGAATCTCGAGCAGGGTAGCATGTCTGTTATGGACTACGAGGTTGAGTTCATCCGATTGAGCCGATATGCTCATGGACTTGTTGACACGGAGACAGATAAATGCTTGAGGTTCGAGAATGGACTCCGGTATGAGATTAGGAGTCAAGTCGCTACCCACCGAGAGAGGAATTTTGATGTATTAGTTGAGATAGCCAAGACTGCTGAGGAAATAGAGCGATTGGG